GGAGGCTTAATAACTAGAATTTAAGTATTATTTACACATTCTTCTGAGTAAAGGTAATCTGATGTTGACAGCTTGCTTTGTATCATTTCTTTCTTTTTTAAGATTTTAGTTATTTATTTATGATTTTATTAATTTGAGTCTTCTCTCTCTTCTTTTTAATAAGTCTGGCTAATGGTTTATCTATCTTATTAATTCTTTCAAAGAACCGACTCCTGGTTTTGTTGATCTGTTCCACAGTTCTTCTGGTCTCAATTTCATTGAGTTCTGCTCGAATCTTTATTAACTCTCTTCTTCTGCTGGGTGTAGGATCCATTTGCTGTTTTTTCTCTAGCTCCTTTAGTGTAAGGTTAGCTTTTGTATTTGAGTTCTTTCCAGTTTTTAAATGGATGCTTGTATTGTGATGTATTTCCCCTCAGGACTGCTTTTGCTGCATCCCAAAGATTTTGAACGGTTGTATCTTCATTCTCATTAGTTTCCATGAATCTTTTTAATTCTTCCTTAATTTCCTGGTTGATCCTTTCATCTTTTAGCTGGATGGTCCTTAACCTCCACGTGTTTGAGGTCCTTCCAAACTTCTTATTGTGATTTAGTTCTAATTTCAAGGCATTATGGTCTGAGAATATGCAGGGGACGATCCCAATCTTTTGGTATCTGTTCAGACCCGATTTGTGACCCAGTATGTGGCCTATTCTGGAGAAAGTTCCATGTGCACTTGAGAAGAATGTGTATTCAATTGAGTTTGGATGTAAAGTTCTGTAGATATCTGTGAAATCCATCTGGTCCAGTGTATCATTTAAAGCTCTCGTTTCTTTGGAGATGTTGTGTTTAGAAGACCTATCAAGTGTAGAGAGAGCTAGATTGAAGTCACCAAGTTTAAGTGTATTATTATCTAAGTATGTCATAACTTTGGTTATTAATTGATTGATATATTTGGCAGCTCCACATTCGGGGCATATATATTGAGGATTGTTAAGTCCTCTTGTTGGATAGATCCTTTAAGTATTAGAGACACAGAGAGGGAAAGAGTCAGAGACACAGGCAGAGGGAGAAGCAGGCTCCATGCAGGGAGCCCAATGCGGGACTCGATCTGGAGACTCCAGGATCATGCCCTGGACTGAAGGCAGGTGCTAAACTGCTGAGCCACCCGGTGTCCCTGTATCATTTGTTTCAACATTATTGTGGCTAAGGGTGAAAAAAGCATGATAGTAGCACAGTGCAGGAGGCCAGAGTGCACTGTGTACATGAATGTATGGGGTGGGGGGTATGTGTGCATGTGTGTGTGTTTTACTGTGTGCCTACGTGCATGTGTATGTGTGTGGGGCATGAGCAGTCCTCAGGGCAATGGTACCCGAATTCATGTACTCCAATCTGTGACTTGTAAATTCCAGAATGTTAACCAACAGATGGAGTCATGTGCCTCCCTCAGTGCCCGGCATCCATTCACTCCCACCCACCACCTCCTCCCCTTCCACCACCCCTAGTTCATTTCCCAGAGTTAGGAGTCTTTATGTTCTGTCTCCCTTTCTGATATTTCCTACCCATTTCTTCTCCCTTCCCTTCTATTCCCTTTCACTATTATTTATATTCCCCAAATGAATGAGACCATATAATGTTTGTCCTTCTCCGATTGACTCATTTCACTCTTGCTCATTCTCTTACCACGCTGACTCCATTCTGAGATTTTGCATATCTGAAATAAGTGCCTTCTGCAGGGCCTTTGCTCTGTTTTCCCTGCAGGGCACAGACTTCCCCCAGAAATCCTCCTGCCTCCAGCTTAGTCTTTCTGGAAGCCTCTGTTAAAATATCACCTTCTTTGCAGGTCACCCTGATCTCTTATTAAAATTTAACATCTCCCCATCCACTCATTTTATATCGACTTTCTTTTTCCTTCATGGCCCCTGTCACCATCTGATGTGGTACATGATTTTTTTATTTTTTAATAAATAGTCTTCCTTCATCATTGGATTGTATGGACTTTTCTTTTCCTGCAAGTTTTATTATTTATTTATTTATTTATTTATTTAAATTAATTAAATTTATTTTTTATGTTGGTGTTCAATTTGCCAACATACAGAATAACACCCAGTGCTCATCACGTCAAGTGCCCCCCTCAGGGCCCATCACCCATTCACCCCCACCCCCCACCCTCCCCTTCCACCACCCCTAGTTCGTTTCCCAGAGTTAGGAGTCTTTATGTTCTGTCTCCCTTTCTGATATTTCCTACCCATTTCTTCTCCCTTCCCTTCTATTCCCTTTCACTATTCTTTATATTCCCCAAATGAATGAGAACATACACTGTTTGTCCTTCTCCGATTGACTTACTTCACTCAGCATAATACCCTCCAGTTCCATCCACATCGAAGCAAATGGTGGGTATTTGTCGTTTCTAATGGCTGAGTAATATTCCATTGTATACATAAACCACATCTTCTTTATCCATTCATCTTTCGATGGACACCAAGGCTCCTTCCACAGTTTGGCTATTGTGGACATTGCTGCTACAAACATCGGGGTGCAGGTGTCCCGGTGTTTCATTGCATCTGCATCTTTGGGGTAAATCCCCAGCAGTGCAATTGCTGGGTCGTAGGGCAGGTCTATTTTTAACTTTTTGAGGAACCTCCACACAGTTTTCCAGAGTGGCTGCACCAGTTCACATTCCCACCAACAGTGCAGGAGTTTCCCCTTTCTCCATATCCTCTCCAACATTTGTGGTTTCCTGCCTTGTTAATGTTCCCCATTCTCACTGGTGTGAGGTGGTATCTCATTGTGGTTTTGATTTGTATTTCCCTGATGGCAAGTGATGCAGAGCATTTTCTCATGTGCATGTTGGCCATGTCTATGTCTTCCTCTGTGAGATTTCTGTTCATGTCTTTTGCCCATTTCATGATTGGATTGTTTGTTTCTTTGGTGTTGAGTTTAAGAAGTTCTTTATAGATCTTGAAAACTAGTCCTTTATCTGATACGTCATTTGCAAATATCTTCTCCCATTCTGTAGGTTGTCTTTGAGTTTTGTTGACTGTATCCTTTGCTGTGCAAAAGCTTCTTATCTTGATGAAGTCCCAATAGTTCATTTTTGCTTTTGTTTCTTTTGCCTTCGTGGATGTATCTTGCAAGAAGTTACTGTGGCTGAGTTCCAAAAGGGTGTTGCCTGTGTTCTCCTCTAGGATTTTGATGGAATCTTGTCTCACATTTAGATCTTTCATCCATTTTGAGTTTATCTTTGTGTATGGTGAAAGAGAGTGGTCTAGTTTCATTCTTCTGCCTGTGGATGTCCAATTTAAATTCCAGTTAGTTAACATACAGTGCAACATTAGTTTCACGTGCAGAATTTAGTGATTCAACACTTCTATACAACACCACAAGTGTCCTCCTTCATCCCCATCATCTATTTCACTCATCTCCTTCCTCACTCCCCCAGCAACCCTCTGGAGGGTTCATAGCTAAGAGTCTTTTTCCTGGTTTGTCTCTTTTTCCCCCAACTGTTTTCATTTGCTTTGCTTCTTAAATTCCACACACAAATGAAATCACATTGCATTTGTCCTTCTCTGACTTATTCACTTAGCATAATACACCCTACCTCTATCCAGTTCATTGAAAATGGCAAGATTTCATTCCTTCTGATGGGCTAAGTAATACTCCATTGCATATATATACTACAACTTTTTTATATATTTTTAGTTTATGGTCATTTGGACTCTCTCCATAGTTTGACTATTGTTAATAATGCTACTATGAACATCACGGTACATAACCCTTCAAATTAGTATTTTTGTATCCTTTGGGTAAATACCTAGTAGTGCAACCTATGAAATGTGAGAAGATATTTGCAAGTGACAAATTAGATAAAGGATTAGTATACAAAATCTATAAAGAACTTATCAAATTCAACACCAAAAAAACCCCAAATAATCCAATTAGCAATAGGCAGAAGACTTGAATAGACATTTCTCCAAAGACATACAGATGGCTAACAGACACATGAAAAGATGCTCAGCATCACTCATCATCAGGCAAGTACAAATCAAATACACAATAAGATATCACCTCCCACCAGTCAGAGTGGCTAAAAATTAACATCACAGGAAACAACAGGTGTTATCAAGGATGCAGAGAAATGGAAATCCTCTTGCATGTTGATGGGAATACAAACTGGTGCGGCCACTCTGGAAAACAGTATGGAGGTTCCTTAAAATTTAAAAATATAACTGCCCTAGGATCCAGCAATTGCACTACTAGGTATTCACCCACAGAATACAAAAATACTAATTCAAAGGAATAGTATTCAAAAATACTAATTCAAATACCCAAATCTTATTAGCAGCATTATTTACAATATCCAAACTATGGAAACAGCCCAAGTATCCAACAATAGATGAATGGATGAACAAGATGTGACATATATATATACACCTACATATATATACAGATGTATATGCACACACATACAGCGGAATGTTACTCAGAAAATAAAATTAAATCATGCCATTTGCAACAACATGGATAGAGCTAGAGAGATTGTGCTAAGCAAAATAAGTCAGTCAGAAAAAGATAAATACCATATGATTTCACTCATATGTGGAATTTAAGAAACAAAACAAAGTCCAAAGGTAAAAGAGAGAGAGAAAGGGAGAGAGAGAAACAAGAAACAGACTCTTAACTACAGAGAACACACTGCCTGTTGCCAGAGAGGATGTGGTAGGAAGATGGGTCAGATAGATGATGTGGATGATGGAGGGCACTTGTGATGACCACCAGGTGTTTTATGGAAGTATTGAATCATTATATTGTCCACCTGAAAAAAAATATTACACTGTAGCTTAACAAACTTGACTTAAAATAAAAACTTAAAAATGAAAAATTATTATGTTATTTTTTTCTTTCCCTGTAGTCACCTCTACCACATGGAAGCAGACAATGACACAGGAATTTCAGAGTTTCTTCTTCTGGGATTATCAGAGGAGCCAGAACTACAGCTCCTCCTATTTGGGATGTTCCTCTCCATGTACCTGATCACTGTCTTTGGAAACCTGCTCATCATTCTGGCTGTCAGGTCAGACCCCCACCTCCACACCCCCATGTACTTCTTCCTCGCCAACCTGTCCTTTGTAGACATCTGTTTCACCTCCACCACTGTCCCAAAGATGCTGCTGAACATACAGACTCAGGGCAAAGTCATCACCTATGCAGGTTGTGTCACACAGATATACTTTTTTCTACTCTTTGCAGACTGGGATGACTTTCTCCTGGCTGTGATGGCCTATGACCGTTTTTTGGCTATCTGTCACCCCTTGCGCTATACAGTCATCATGGATCCATGGCTCTGTGGACTGCTGGTTCTGGTGTCATGGATCATGAGTACCCTGAATTCCTTGTTACAGAGCTTAATGGTGTTGCGGCTGTCCTTCTGTGCAGAGGTGGAAATCCCCCATTTTTTCTGTGAACTCAGTCAGGTGGTTGGACATGCCTGTTCTGACACCTTTTTAAATAACATAGTGATATATTTTGCAGCTGTGCTGCTGGGTGGGGCTCCCCTGGCTGGTATCATATACTCTTACTCTAAGATAGTTTCCTCAATACTTAGGATCTCAGCAGCTCAGGGCAAATATAAAGCATTTTCCACCTGTGCATCTCACCTTTCAGTTGTCTTCTTATTTTATGGTACAAGCCTAGGAGTGTACCTGAGTTCTGCTGCTAACCACAGCTCTCACAAAAGTGCAGTAGCCTCGGTGATGTACACGGTGGTCACACCCATGCTGAACCCCTTCATCTACAGCCTAAGGAACAGAGACATAAAGAGGGCTCTGAAAAGAATCACTGGGGTTCCAGTGATGTAAGGGCCAATCATCAGGGGGCTTAAGAAGTGCCCATGATTGCAGGGCTCACAGCCTCAGAGCCAGGAACTGCCATTCTATGATTATATTGTGGAAGTAGAATCTGTTCCTACTACTTATTTCCTGGAATTTCCATCTTTTTGAATTCAACTTCTCCATACATTTAAGTCACTCATGTTATTAAACTTCTGCCTTATCTGATTCATATACAGATAGTTTCCCCTTTGATCTATTTCATCCATTCCAATGTTTTCCTTTGGATCACAAATGCCTAGAAATTTCTGTATCTTACCTGAGACACGTTGGATTTCTTAAAACTAATTTCATTTCAAATGAATTATCTCATGCCATGTAAATTTTCCCTGTATTTCCGAAAAGAATAATCATGGGTTGTATTCTTCATATGGAAAAAACTCCATTTGGCCACTAAGCCTTTCACATGACTTTATTTAGAGGAGATACAAAACCTCAGTTTTCAAGAGTTTGTCAATCTTTTTTCCATCACTACCTTCACTACTGTTCCTGTTAATGTGGACTCTATCATTGTCCTGTTTATGTCTCAGGCTACTTACATGGATACTCAGGCTAAGAAAGCCTGGGCACACTCCTGTATATGTGTGCTTGTGGACATTCCCACAGATGGTTCCCTCACCAGAGCCTCTGCTGTGGCTGCTCCTGCCCTTGGGTTCTTACTGTGATTGCATGACACACCTCAGCAACACCCATCAGAGAACTCTGGCTACACCAGGTTTATTACTCACAGGTCTGGAGTGCACATGGGATGCCCAAAGGCCATTCAGGGACGTCTCAGGATGGGTATAGAGAGGCATTGAGAGGTAGAGAGAGAGAGAGAATGCCATTGAGGGATCAACCTTTATCAGAGACCATGGGCAGAGTGGTTAGGGGTTTGTGGTTCACATTATATTGGAGATTTTTATATGATTAGAATGTGGATGCTGAAGGGGAAATTAGGGTCACTTGTACGTTGGTATCAAGGTTACCCAGGGCTTTCTGAAGAGGTACTTCATGGCTGGGGCAGCCTGAGGGTTTATCTGGTAATTGTGTCCCACACCTGATACTGTGTTTACTCATTATGGTTGTCTTTGAACTCAGAAATCAAAAGCTTAACACCAGGCACTTATAGTCTCTTCAATAAATGAGGTTGGAAAAACTGGAAAGCCACATGCAGAAGAATGAAACTGGACCACTTTCTTACAACATACACAAAAACAAACTCAAAAATGGATGAAATACCTAAAGTTGGAACAGGAATCCATCAATATCCTAGAAATGAACACAAGCAGAAACCTCTTTGACCTCAGCCACAGCAACTTCTTGCTAAACATGTCTCCAAAGGCAAGGGAAACAAAAGTAAAAGTGAACTATTGGACTTTGTCAAGATAAAAAGCTTTTGCACCGCAAAGGAAATAATCAACAAAACTAAAAGTGAAACTACAGGATGGGAGAAGATATTTGCAAATGTCTTATAAGATAAAAGGCTAGTCTCCAAAATCTATAAAGAACTTATCAAACTCAGTGCCCAAAAAAACAAGCAATCCAATCACAAAATGAGCAGAAGACATGAACAGATATTTCTCCAAAGAAGACATACAAATGGCCAACAGACACATGAAAAAAATGCTCCACATCACTCAGGATCAGGAAAATACAAATCAAAACCACAATGAGATACCACCCTACACCAATAGCTAAATGGCTAAAACAGAATGACTAAAAAAAACTGCTCAGGAAGCAACACATGTTGGCAAGGATGCGGAGAATGGGGAATGCTCTTATACTGTTGGTGGGAATGCAAGCTGGTACTGACACCCAGGAAAAAAGTACGGTGGTTCCTCAAAAAGTTAAAAAGTAGAGCTACCTACGATCCAGCAATTGCACTACTAGGTATTTATCCAAAGGTTACAAATGTAGTGACTCAAAGGGGCACATGCACCCCAATAGTTGTAGCCACAATGTTCACAATAGCCAAACTATGGAAATGGCCCAGATGTCCACTGACAGACAGATGAATGGATAAAGAAGGTGTGGTGTATATATATACACATACACAATGGAATATTACTTAGTCATCAGAAAGAATGAAATCTTGCCATTTGCAATGACACGGATGGTATTATGCTAAGCAAAATAAGTCAGAGAAAGATAAATATTTGATTTCACTCACATGTGGAATTTAAGAAACAAAACAGATGAACATAGGGGAAAGGGAAAGAAAAATAAAAAGATGAAAATGGGGGGGGTGGTAAGCCATAAGAGTTGCTGAACTCTAAGAAACAAACTGAGGGTTGCTAGAGAGGCGGTGGGTGGATAATTGCATAATGGGCATTAAGGAGGGCACGTGATGTGATGAATACTAGATATTACATGCAACTGATAAATTACTAAATTCTGTCCCTGAAACTTATAATACAATACAGCTTGACTAAATGGAATTTAAATAAAAAATTAAAAAAATAAGTGAATCTTGTAAGAAAAGAATTTTGAAATGCAAGGAAATTAACTTTTTCCTCTTGAGAAAACATTCCAGTGTAGTGGTTGTGCCTTGTGTGTGTGTGTGTGTGTGTGTGTGTGTGTGTCTTATATACATTTTTCTTTCAAATAAGAATGCTCGCCACCTGTGTACACACACAGATGATCTATGATTTCATCTTTTATGTTGAAAGGAAACTTGAGGGGAAGTTGGAGAAATTAGCACTGAAAAGAATGAGTGATGGAATCAACATGAAACAAAAGGATGCAGAAATGTAGACACAAAATTGCAAATTAAAGTGAGTGACCTTAATTTTGATCATGAGTCCCTTTCCTAAGTCCCTGCCTCAAAGGCCTCAGAGTCAGATCACACACACATTTATGCCATGAGGAATTCACTGTGCCAGCTGACGGCACAGAATTTCTCCAAATCAATTTATTTTCTACTTAATGTGGGTTCCTAGTTTGATTGATTGATTGATTGATTGGTTTTTCCTTCAAGATTTTACTTAAATTCAAATTAGTTCAAATATAGTATAATATTACTGTCAGAGGTAGAATTTAGTGATTTATCAGTTGCATACACCACTCCCTGCTCATCACATCACATGCCCTCCTTAAAACCCATCACCCAGTTACCCCATCTCCCACCCACCTCCACTCCAGCAACCCTCAGTCTGTTTTCTATTGTTAAGAGTCTCTTATGGTTTCCCTCTCTCTCTGTTTTTATATTTTTTAATTTCTCCTTCCCTTCTCCTATGTTCATGTTTTGTTTCTTACATTCCACATACTAGTGAAATCTCACGGTATTTGCAACCACATAGATGGAACTGGAGTGTATTATACTTGGTGTGGGTTCTTTAAATGTAAATGCCCTTCCCCAAGGGAAGCTGATGAATGAATTTAAAGACTTAAATTCCATTTTCTCAAATAATTTTATTGAGTATGTCCATATGAGATTCCTCCAGCTGCTGTAAAATATCTCCACCCTACTTGCTTAAAATAAATACACACATGTTTTTAGGGTTCTGGAGTTAGAAGCTTGAAAAAAAGTCTCATAAGGCTAATAGCAAGATGTCTGCAGGGTTGAGCTCCTTCCAGAGGCTCTAGGGAGAAATCAGTTTCCTTTCCAATTCCAGTCTCTTTTGCTGGTCACCTGTGTTCCATGGCTAAAGACTTTTCCTCCACATTCAGACCCAGGAGGGCAACATTTTCAAAGTCTAACACCTACTCTTTTGTCTCCTTCATCAACATTTGAAGACCATTGTGATTACCATAGTCCCACCTGGACAATCATGACTAATCTTTTTATCTTATTGATAGCTGACAGCAATCCTATTCAATCTGCTACCTTAACCCTTCTTTAATATAACAAATGACACCTTGAAGGAACTAGGGATTATAATGTGGGAGGGCCCATATTTGGGAGGATCTTCTTCAGTTTACTACTACAAAAGTTTTTTCCTATGTGTATTATTTTGATCACTTATGAAAGCAATAAATACAGACTTCACACAGCCTGACGAATGAGAAAATACACATTTCCTTCAAAATTCCATGCAATGACAATATTTGGTGCAGAATACCTAAAACCACCTACACCATCTCTAACAAAGGATCACAGCCTGACTAATTGAAGAATAGTCCACACATCAACATCTCCCAGGAGCTTGTTAGAAATGCAGACTCTCTGGGTCACCCAGGACCTGTGATTAAATTCTGCATTTGTAGTGGGATCCATGTGGATTCACAGGTATATTTATGCTGGTCTAGGTAGGTTTTTCACATTTTATGGCTGACGTTTGTGGAAAAATAATAATATTTTGGGGATGCTTTCCTTTGGATTGTAGTAATTCAGCAGCATCCCTTCAAAGATTGAGTTTTAACCTGAAGAAATTCATTTCTGGTTGAGAACCACTGCCCCAGAGCTTGAGAACTAGACACAACCTGATATAATGACACTCATGGCCCACCATATACTCATATATTAAATGTGGACAGATCACTAGATAACATCAAAGACCATTTCTAAAATGTAGAGGGAGGTCATAAATGTAATTCCTCAGGGAGAAGATGCTTACAAAAATTAAATCAAATAATCCCTATGAGATATGAAATTCAAGTTATAGTACATAAACAGATCTAAAGACATTTGTTAAAATAAATTACCATTTTTTTTAATTTTTATTTATTTATGATAGTCACACAGAGAGAGAGAGAGAGGCAGAGACACAGGCCAAGGGAGAAGCAGGCTCCATGCACCGGAAGCCCGACGTGGGACTCGATCCCGGGTCTCCAGGATCACGCCCTGGGCCAAAGGCAGGCGCCAAACCGCTGCGCCACCCAGGGATCCCAAATTACCATTTTATAATAAAGCTATAAATCACAGCTCTTAAACTATGTAGAGTAAAAATTCCTAATTGTAAGGGAAAATGTGTTTGAAGCTAATGTGTGTTGTGGCCAAGGTTAATTATCCACCTAACTGAAAAGAAGAATGGACCCTTTTGGAAATA